CCCCAAAACCCCAAAACCCCAAAACCCCACTAGGTCGAATAATTTAATAGAATTACGGATGAGTCAATTCGTATAATATATAAAGTTATATTTTCACTTATAATTCACTTATAATATCTTTTCTCACTTATTTTAGTCATAAAACCTTGATAGTTTTGTTTTTATGGAATATTAGAGAGTGCATTTTTTTCAAGAGTAGCGCTATATTTCTTAAGTCCTTCCAGCACCATTTAATATTCAATACGCTTCCATTCTTGGAATGCCTTCATTAGCATTACTTCATCTTTTTTCATGCTCCCCTCAGCTATCAAAATAGCTCTTAATAATTTCTATAGTGGTTTTATATAATTTGATATTTTACCTTTTCTCTATTCACTTCAATAGATTATTACAAGAAAATTTCCTCTTAGTATACACTCCTTAGCCATTTGATAAGTGCTTCTGATAGTTATTTTCTTGTCACAAAATCATATAAGATCTAGCCGCCCTCTCTCTATCTATCTCTGATAGAAAATTCTTTAATCTTTCTGAAAGAAAAAGCAAGATTTTACTCAACTCTAATATGATTAAATCTCTCACTTAGTTAAGTCAAAGCAACTCTGTATAGTTTCAATTAAACTTAATCAATCTAACCATTAGCTGCTGTTCTTTACTACTGTTAAATCAAATTTTATTACTGCTATTGCTGTATTTAATATTAGGTTCTATCTGTCTATTAAGATGATAGAGATGTACAAGATGATATGGTATTTTAATTAGAAGACATGTAAGATTACTTTCTTACATTAGTAGTTACTGCTTGAGATGACAATGATACAGATTTTTAGGCATTTTCCTTACCGTAATTTAAACCTTGTAATTAACCTAGTGATTAGTAAGCTGGATTAGATACTCTGTTTTTATCCCTCTGGAGAGGCATTTGATCATTCCTTTTGCTTTGATTAGTTGAAATATCAACAGAAACTTTAGGAATAGTCTATTAACTTGATTATAATCCAATCTAATTTTAAATATATTGGGAATTAGTAGATGATTATTGACTATTAAAGCCTACTGACATATATTATTCCATTTAGCTTCTCAAAGTCTAAAATTTATTTATAGCAGGATGCTTAGTAGATTACGCTTTTGGGGTTTTGTTATTTGGAGATTTAGACTCCAGCTTTCTTTAATGCTCTTTAGCATTTTTACTTATTTCTGCTATTCTTTTCTACTTATCTTTTACCTCTTTCTCTTACTCAAGGATTTTTTATTCCTTCATGTTAAGATAAGCTTCTTGTTTCCTAATCTTTGAATCTTTCTCAGTTAAAAGCACAATTTGATTGTGTATCTCGTTCTTTTTCTGGGATATTTTTGTTCTAAGTACCTCATTTTGCTTAGTCAATTAGTTTCCTAAAAATGCCTACATAACTGCATGATATTTATTACGCTAAATTTTCTCTAAAACATGGCTAAGTAGAATCGCTTTAACTTTGTTTGATTTATTGACTTTTTTTCTTCTTTTGATCTGAGATTTAATTGATCTAAAGTTAAGTTTCATTTTTTTCAGAAATAGATTACTCAGTAATTAGAACCCTAGTTGCTATTGATCTTATGATTGACAAAGATTTTTCCATTTTACTATGGATTAACGAACCATACTGTAATGGCTAAATAAATCTAAAATTTTTGTTGCTGCTGCCATTGCCCTTATGGTTAACTAAACCTTTTCTTTGGCAAAAACTTGCTTCACAATCTTACTCCATTTGTTAAACTAGAGGGATTTACTTCTGAGCTACTACTTCCATATTATTTGCCTCAAATGTTTAGACCTTAAACTTTACAATTTTTCAGTCTAGGCTATTTCTTCCTTCAAGTTAATACAGTATTTTTTCCATTAAAGAAAGTAATGTTTGAAGGCTTTACCTCGCATTTTGAGAAGAGTTCTGATAAGAAGCTGTCTCTGATGCGACTTGAGTATTTGATTTTACTTTAAAGTAGAGAATGCATCATAAAATCTCTGTCTTAAAATGTCAGACATCAAATCACTGAAGTTTTCTAGAGTTTAATCATACAACATTTATTGATTTCTCTTGAATAAAGATTGCTTTTTTATATTTAGCATTGCCAGCGACATATAGGTATGTTGAACTCGAGTAATAATTCTAGAAAAAGAACCAAGAGCTAGACTCTTTTAGCTTTGCTTCTAACCTTCTAGTATTATAAGCTGTCTCTACTTTAACAATTGAAAGCTTTTATTTCTTTGCAGCATTTCAAATTATATAGTTCTTTCAAGAATTAACTAAGGCAGTCTCAATCGATATACTTATTAAACTAGGCTACTTTTTATCTTAATAGCTTGAAAAGCTTCCTATCTTAATTTCTTATTAATAAGATTGTTGATTTCTTCAAGAGATCTATTTCTTTTTGAATGAGCTTGAAATTTTTCAAAGTACTTTTTTATAGATACTTTATCATTAAACTTCCTCTTGAATATTTTCTCTATGAAGTTTTATTGCAATACTTCAATCTCAGAAATTTAGAAGCACATAATTTTCCATCTTTCAAACCCCTACCTTTATTTGAATTATATCATCTTATTGAGAAACAGCTCTTAGATTCTATTCTTATGAATGGCATAACTCTCATAATCTGTATTAAAATCTCTCCATTTATTGAAGAATTCTTTTAAATTAGAGACCTATTCATATTTATTAAAAATTTCATGTAATCGATCTAATTTTGTCATTTTGACATTGTATTCCTTAATCTTTTTAAAAGTTTCCTTTTTTCTTTAATAAATGATTTACTTTAGGTTCTTTAGAAGTAAAATGCAACTATTTCACTATATAAGCATGTCTCTTCTTTTCAACTAACTCTTTATATCATTTAATTTTTGTTCACTTTCTTTGATTTTCTCTTGACAATTAATATTCTCCTAGTGTCTAGAATATATTTACTTAAGCTCACTAAAGAGCATTGATTTAGATAGTTTAACAGCACCATCAAGGTTTTTGACTATCCTTAATATGGCAATGTTCTTAATGAGTTTTTCTTTTGTGAGTCTCATTGCTGACTCTTTAGTTAATGCCATATTCTTTATTTAAATTTAAACTGAAAAATTCAACTTAATTTCAATACTACTTTTATTTTAATATCTCTCGAAGGGGTTTTGGGGTTTTGGGGTTTTGGGG